TAACACGTTATTTTTCCTGCCGTAGCTAACCAATAACCATTTCTGCATCTAGAGAAAGCTGCCTAACACTTGGGCTTAAATTCCCCAGAGTAACTGTTCATGATCACAAATTTGGCTAAAGGATTTTTTTCATTACCCTCAAACGTTTCCTTTCACCTCCAACCTCTAGGCAGAGCCATCGCTTTCCCTTTAGAGCGGGGAACATAAAGCCATGGGGCCATCGGGGCTGGCTGTGCCTGACCCCGAGGGCCCTTCTGTCAATCACTGCCTCCCCATCCCTTGCTCTCTTTCACACCAGGCAGCTGTACCCATCGCTGTCAACCAGGTAACAACCAGCAAACAATAGAGGCCTGAATGCCTGGTCTAGACACTCTTTTAGCCACTTATTTGCTGCTCTTGGCAGCTGTTGAAGCATAAATAAGCAGTTTGTAATCAGAAAGCTGACATCATTGCAGCTCAGCTGAGAGGGGGAATTGTTGCTGTGCACTGAGCTGCTTTCCCCCCTCTCCCCCCCGCCCCCGGTTCGTTTTGTGACAACAGATTTCTGGGGTGGGGATGCAGATTTCTGCCGGGCTAAGCTGGCTTTCCTTTTTATTTGTAGAGTACAATGATGCAGGTCGCGGATAAAAGCACGCATGCGGCAGTGTAGTTTGCAACTACTAAAATTGAAAAAAAAAAAAACAAAACACAGAAAAAGCATGGAAGACCTCACCTGCAAATAAATGGTGGGAGTTCTGACCTGCACATTCAGAACGCATTTTGAGGCTCACAAATATTTTAAATTTAAAGAGTGGTATTTTAATTGACTGACCATAAAATGGGCGGATGGGCAGAGATTGTTCCCTGTCCTGACTGGTATTTTTGCCTATAAGTTTTCTTTTTCACCCCCTGGAAGGAGAGACGGGGTAAAAACAGTCTTACCAGAGCTGAGCCAACACTTCCTAACAAACTGGGTTTTGTGCCAACGTGCCTCTGTTTCTACTTTCGAAATGCCCAGCTACGCATCTCCCATCGCTGCAACGCTGCAAACATTTGTTGTTCGAGTACATTTCATACACTTTTAACACTTCTTCTTTTTTTTTTTTTTTTTCCTCCTACTTTGGGGCTCGATCGTAAACAAGTTCACTGGGCAAATTTGACACAATATTTGAAACTCAAGCTGGGTTCCTCGGGCGGGATTGGTGGGGCGAGGCACGTGGCAGCGCTGCTGCTCCCTGACTGGGGGAAGACGGCAGCATACCCAGTGCAAATATTTGCACATGCAAATTCAGAATTCGTTTTCCACAAACACTCGCACGTATGACTTTCAAATTAGCTTTCTGCGAGCATTCATGCTGCTAAGAAACTCTAGTTCAAATATTCATAGAAAGTGAACATAAAAGGGCCACAGGTTTAGGTGATTTCGTATTTTTTTTTTGAAACGAAAACAGCCACCGAGTGAATATTCATGCCAAAGTCCTTGCAGTGTTTGTCCAGTTCTGTTGGCTTCTGGCTGTCCTCCTTTAACGTTGAGAACCCATGTTTTCTTGTGGTACCAAACAGCAATGGCAAATTATGCTGCCTCAAATGTGTAGTTAAAACACAAACTTTATAATCTGCAGGGCATTTGCTGCTCTTTGTTGATGGGAAAGTGAAGCACAGAGTGTAACCTTTAAAACACGTAATTCATACCGGGTCCCAAATCTTTCCCCTGTGTTTCATTCGGTCTGTGCTGGTGATGACTGTGGCCGTAATGGGAAAGAGGGCTTTTTTTTGAGCTTTTTCCCCCAGTTGTTTATTTATGTGTCTGTGTGCATTCTCTGCATGCAATCAGTAAGGGAGTTGAGCTTTCTCGTTCTTGTGGAGCTGAGCGCACGTTGAACCAGTGATGTGTCGAAGTTTGATCCCACTGCCTGCTGGTACACAGAGACAGGGTGAACACTAGAGTGTCTGTGGGGTTCGCTAACTATCTGAAATATCTTCAGGTAGCTCTGTCTATCTCCAGTTTCAACAAGAAAGAAGGCCAGTTCAACAAAAATATTGACTTTATATCTCCCAAAGGCTTTCTAGTATTAGTTTGCTCTAAGTAGCTCATGATTTAGAGTACAAAGGCATTTCCAGAATGCATGTTTAACAAAATGACATAGCAGATAATTGAAATTTATTTGCAATTTTCAAACTACAATAAACACAATTCTCCTTTTCTTTCATTAATAATCGCACGGCTAATGCATAACAATCCCTCTGCAGCTTTTACAAGCAAACTTGAGCTGCTGTGTTGTAATAGCTGGAAAAGTTAATGTAGCTTGAACAAGGTTCCTAATTGTCCCTGTCTCTGTCATATTTGTCTACTTGAATGGTCCTAAATACCACAGCGATTAATTACTACAGAGCAGGTATTACAAGATGTTATCATCCTTCCCCAACTGTCTGGGTGAATGGAGAGAGGCAGTAGATTGTTGCAGTGTTTCATCTTTGCACTTCCTGTAAGGCACTTTAACCAGAAGATTTAATGTGTCAAAGTTAACTGCGTTCTCGCGCAGATATTCACATTCTAATTAAAGATTAAGAACGTAGTACATTACACTGTGATTTGTCATACATGGCTTGTTAAATAGGAAACCTACCGGGATTCCCTAACATTTTATAAACATTATTCAGGGCTTTTAATGTGGGCAAAGGAAAAGATTATTCAGCTGCTCTGCAGAGTAGGAGGCAGGTCATTTCTACCCCCTCCGCCTCCTGCCCGAGCTGCCCCCTCTCCAAATAAATAAATAAGAAAACTCAGGTGGTTTTCAAACTGGAATTCTGTCGAGATCTCTTTAAACTATTTATCTTCCCAGCGTGTATGTATGCGTGTGTGGAGATATATGTATACATAAAATATATATGTGTTAATTATTTTTTGGCATTTTTCAACTTTTGCTGTCAGCTATGTAAACTGAGGTAAGAAGTCTTTGTTTGAATTAGGGTGGTGAAGGAAGGGAGAAAGATGAAACAGTTTTTCAATATGCAGAATGTGCTTTCAGCTGATTCTAGCAGTGCTGAGCGGCGTACCACTTCCAGTATTAGTAGCAGAGGACTGGTTCACATTCTTTGATTGCCTGAGGAATAAATTAATGAGGTTACTGGAGACATTGAACATTTGCATATTCACGGATGCTTATTAGGTATAAAGTGAATGCCAGGTGCATTGAATTTTGGGAATACTAGCTTTGGTTTTGGTCTTCTATTTTTAAAGCAATCACATCTTTCTTTTTCCCTGAAGTGGGAAGTTCTGTGAGAAAAAAGCAGAATTTATAAAAATAATAACACCCAAAAAAATCAAATTAATTCAATACAGACAAAGCTTTGCTATAAGATATACATCAGAATAAATTTGATACAGCATGAGGCTGGGGACTATATGAATATCTTGTTTGGAACAACAGTTAGGATGACTACAAATATAAAAACAGTTGTTCCAAGACATAAGGACAACAAATGTTATATTTTTCACTGTGCTCCTTATGGATTTCTAGCTTTAAATAGCAATAGGAGAACTCATTATGAAGTTACCTTCCATAATGCCCAATGCTTAATTTTGAGACACCAATATTCTAGCACATTTTATTATGGCAAGTCTCAAACTCAGCCTGCAAAGCACAGAAGATAGAATTACAAGATTTGCTCGACTATTTCTCCAAGGAGTAGCTGCACATGGTTGCATTGTTGTCAGTGACTTCCGTCATTGCTGTGTGAAAGCGCATTGTGTGAATGATTTGCACTGTATCTCATTATTCCTGGAAGTTTTTATCTATATTGTTTATTTGGGATCGTTATCCCCTTTGCATTCTTAAAGATTTTATGGTCGTGGTTTTTTTTGTTTCTCCCTTCCCATTCTTTGGCTGTCCATATGCTACAGAGCACAGTATTAGCACTGCTTGTTTTAGCAGAGAAATATCTGTCAATTGAAAACATGTGTATTGTTTGTTCTGCCTTTTGCTTGTCTTTTACAGTGTAAGCATCAAGCGTGTACATGTGCACAGACTACAGGCTTACATGCCCTGCACACAGATAAATACAAACACACGTGCCCACACAGATGTCCTCCTATAAAATTATTGGTATCACCTAGTTCCAAGTAGCTGGTGTAGCAAAATCAAGCAGTGATAAGTGTTTTCTTTGGATAATAATATGTATTTACAAACAGGCTCCCTTCTGCCCCCTTGTTTCACAGAATACTGTGCTCAACTTCCCTTTCCTGGATGTTGCACTGTGTTGATCACTGCCCTGCCTCTGCAAATCCTATTTGAAAATCTCATTTGCAGCATAACTGACAACAAAGGCATTACATGGTGTATGCCCTGCATATTCGGCAGACTATTCCTTGCCTTTGTAAGTTATTTCTAACTTCTAATGAAAATACTGTGCGATCAGTTGATGATCTTTTTTATTTATTAATAGCCTGTAAAATTAAGTGTGTCTAATCAAAGAATGGATCTTTTCTTAAAAGTGCAAGGTGGAATGCATTAGATCAGTGGTACAAAAAGCAGATGTTCTTTACTGCAGTAGGCCTTTCTTTGGGTATTCTAGGAAGCAGGGACTTAAACAAAACATTAAATTGAAGAGGATTCTGAGGTACAATCCCTGCCAGCCAGTGCAAGACACAGAAATCTCTTCAAGTCTACATTTTCTCTGCATTTGTTTCCAAACTGGAATTCTGCTCCGTGATTAAAAAAAATAAGAAAAATGATTTGATATTTCAGTCTCTCAGGGCAGCTTCTGAAAAATTACATGCAAAATGATCTATCATATATTTATTGAAAATGGTATTGCAGAGCACAAATGTGCATTTTATTCAGAAAGGTCATTTTTTAAAACATCCATTGTAGCTGCTTCACTAACGTCCAGGGGTTTTTGCCATACACACAGCACAGATTTTTTTGATTATGTAGATTTTTTTTTTTTTCTCCCCTATTGCAGTTTCATATGCAAAGCATGCATCAGCCACATCCATGCTATCTCCTAAAGCAGTCATTCTGAAACCCAATCTGGGGACAGTGCAGACTAAATAAAATTTCATTTTGATTTGGCCTCCCGCTGAGAATGGGACTGCTTTGTTTCAGCCGACAGAACCAGCAAGCCAGAAAGGTATGTCCTGTTTTGCATGGCTGATGGTGTGACTTGAGGATCACAATCAGGCCGTTCATGCTCTCAGGGCTCGGCATCTCATCCACATCCTGTACCGTCTTTCTCTTTTCCTTGCCATTTGCTTTCCTTCTGTGCCGCCTGCCGTCTACCTGCAGGGCAAAGCTATGGCAGACCCTCACACTATTGTTTACTTTGGCATATGTTTAATAGCTGCATGGCTGTTTCAGGGTAGGGTTTTGCCTTTTTTCTTCCCCCCCTCCCTTCCCCCTTCCCCCCTCCCGCCTTTGTTTTTTTCCCCTTCCCTATCCACGTTCACTTTCCTTATTTTCTAGGTGTTGAATAAACAAATACTGACTTAACGGAAAATTATGTAAGTACTGCTTGCAATGCTGCAGAGATTTTTACCGGGAGATTTGTAACGCAGAATTTTATTGTGAAACTGAGGAAACATTTAACAGCTTTGAAGGACTTCAGTTTTCATAGCCCTTCAGAGCTGCTTAGGCAGAAAAGCAGTCACCCATTATAGTTAGGAGAGAAAAAAAAATAAAAAATCAAAACCACTCTTAGGAAGGGGTCTGGCTGCATTGCCATCTTCACATGCTTTATAGTTACAGCTGCAGCGTTTGGCTAAGGGAATATCAGTAAATATTTCTCTCTCTAAATATTAGTATTTATCTTAAAGCCAGTCTGCATTCCAGGAGAAACTGCACAGCACGCTCCTTGCTGCTGCTGCTGCTGCTGCTGCTGCTGCCTTATCTTTGGGAGGAGGTGTTGGCATTCAGGGGAATGACCACTGGTTCAGCCTCTGGAGCAGCTTTTGGACAGGACAGCAGGACTCTTGAAAGACTCCTTACGGTGTGAACTTAAATCCTCAAAAGTGTATTTCTCTGTCAAAGCTGTGCTATCCCTTCTCTGGGAATATTTTGGGGGGGGAAAAAAAAAGAAAAGTTTTTCATGTGAAATAAAATTAACATAAAATTTACTTCAGAAAAAGGGCAGATTTTATTTTTGATTACTATGTATTTTAATATGGACAATGTCCTGTTTTCTTAGTTATGCAGAATACAATTATCACTCAAAAGAAAAATTCTATCCTTAACAAAAAATGAAGAATATGTAACATATTCTATAAAGCACTGACATTATATGGGAATTTATGTCTTCAAGGTGATTTACAACCACAAAATTATTATTGTATGCAACAGGCCTTTTTGGTAAGTGATATTAGTAACAGCAGGTTGTTCAGCAAAGTCTTGTGGAACATACATGGTCAGTTATGACACCCTCTGCTCAGTTTAGCAAGTTTTATTCCCAGCTTTTATATGTTAGTCCAACTCCATGACTCTCATCTTATAATCAGATTCACATTTCAGTTTCACCTCTCTGAGGTGGCCAGGGATGCAAGACTTTGACATAACCATGAGGAGCTTTGCATGGCAGAATTTTGTGACTCGGAAATTCACTTTTTTCCAATCTTTCTTAATATAAAAAAAAAAAAGAAAAAGAAAAAAGAGAAGTGTTGTGTTGCGGGGCGAAAACTCATCCAACAAAACTTTGGAGAAAAAAAGAGCTACAAATAAGATGGCTCAGGGGCCTCCCTGTAAAGAAGGGTAGGCCAAATTCAAGTTTCAGCTGCATGCATAAACCCTGGTGAACTCCAACAGGATTTTCCGCACATGGCAGAAGGCAGGATCTAGCCCAGCATGTTTTGGTATTCAGAGATGTTTATAAAGTGAAATGCAGATGGAGAAGACTGTAAAGAAGCTATCCATAATGATGTCACATTTTCTTTAACAATTTAAGGCGGTAAGGAAACTACAAAGTTTCCTGTAAGAAACAAGAACTACAGTTTTTTAAATGGATACAGTGGGGAAATGATCAGTCCTGTGTGGTTTTTCCTCAGTATCTCTAATCCTCCTGCTTCACCTCTAAGGTATCATTGGGATGTTTTCCAAGTTACCAACTCTGCATTTTAATCAGACTTTATAAAATTTAGTTCCAATTTCGCATTTGCCATAATTTCCTTTAAACAGTTAAATGCAAGTTTTAAGAGAAACTAAACTCCAGTATTCTGTGACAGTGTAACCTAGTTCCTTTATGTCAGAAGTCACAGTCCTAGCAGGATTCTTGTTGAATGAAGTGTATTTTATACTATGCCAATAGCTGTATTAAAAAAAAAAAAATTAAATAAGCAGGTATGCATGGATCACTTGGAAATAAACAATGTTTTTATACAAGAAAATTAATCAAAGCATTGTTTCTTTATTTCCAGACATGAAGTATTTTTTTTAAAAAATGATGTTCATTATAGTAAAGGAAAATAATCTCAGCTCCAGAATGTGCTTACTGTTCTGGATACTTTTTTTTATTAATTACACAACTGTTGTATTTAACCAGAAATTAATGCAAACTTTATTCTACTGTTCTTAGGAGATCACAGTTCCTTTTTTTAGACTGTTTTATTAGAGCTGTATATTGTGGTCATATTCTGGATCAGTAATAGAAGCCAGTGGGTTTTGGAGGTTAGTTTTGCATTTATCACTCCCACAGAGAAAGAACTGTAGAAATATTAGCCCAAAGTCCAGAAACAAAGACCTCATTCTTAGATAGTTTTATAAGGCTGCCCTCAGTGGAGTTAGCAGTGTTCTTCCTTATTTATATTTGTATGCTTAAGAAAAGAATCAGATCCAAAATCCCAAATCAGCTACCTCTAGCACAGTGTAATTACAAAAAACCCCAAGATACTTGGGCATGTAACATATTTACGTATGCTTTTTTTTTTTTTTAAATGCAAAAAACTTCATAATTCTCAGTTCTCTGACTTTTCTCTTACTTTTTGTGCCTTACCTGAATGAGGTGACATAACTGAGATAAGTCATACCCATGCCCAGAATCTTATGGGAGAAAACAGATCATGTCAAACAGAGGCACTGATGAATGCACTCAGGAGACAAGTGCCTACTTGTAATTTCATATATACACATAGTTGTGTATAAATTAACTTCATGATGCAAGTACAGATATATACATATGTATGTGTAAGTATGTATGTACAGATACATATATGTACGTATAAGCATGTATATACAGATATATATGTGTGTGTATATGTATCTATATGTAGGACACTGTCACCAGGGTCCCTGGGGTCCACCAATGATACATGGGCAGATCTGTTGTTACTATGACCATGTAGAAGACAACAACCTGCATGATCAGTGCATTTGCTGATCTCCAGCCCATCAGAAGCTCCCAGTAACTCTGCAGCTGGCTGTATTAGGAAACTCCCCTGGAACAAATTCAGAGTCACCTGATGTTTCAATCTGCCCAAAAACTTACTGAGGTCAATAGGATCCCAGACATGAAGATTTGACTGCAGGATCAGGGCCTAAAGATTTGACAGTAGCCCCGTGGGCAACCCAGGACCGGCTAATTGGCAAGCCTTTGGAAAAAGATGGCAAAAATATTTTGTAACACTGGACTTGGGACCTACCAGCAGAATTAATAGATAACTCACTCTCATTTGACTCAAACTCCTCAAGATGGTCTTACTTTATACACCTGATTTGACCAATACCAATAAAAAAGGTCTGAGAAACTGGTAGGAGACACTATAAAATTACACATCAAAGGGCAATTGACTAGGAGCAGATATTATAAACTTCTATATCAAAGGAAAGCAATAATATCCTGTCAAAAAGTATGAGCATAGGAACCCATTGTGTTCACAGTCCAAAAGGTGTGAGGAATAGAATTGCTTGGGTTTGAAACATTTTTACCCAATCTCCTTAGAAATAAAAAAAAAAACAACCAAAAATCAAAGTTAGATTTCTATTTAAAAAACAAAAAAAGGTAAAGTTAATCATAGGCTTACTCTTCAAGTTCACTGGAACAACAGTATGCTATAAAAATGAATGCCACCACTTAAACCTTCATTTGATAATGTTTCAGGCTTTCAGAAAGTTGCCTTTCTTGTCCATAAAAATAAAGCAGGAGCTTTCTCAGATTTAGGGGGATATTCTCCACTATAAAGAGGTATTCTTCCTATAACTCTTATTTTAAACAAAAATCTAAGAAAACAATCTAAGTAGCTGATCGAATGTCTGAGTGTAAATAGAAAACCAGCTTTGGACTAAAGCTAAAGAAGCAGAGCTAACAAGCAGGCATTAACTTTGTTTAGGAGTAGAGGCAGAACCAAAGAGCTTAGCCCAGCAGCTACATTGGAAACCTAATATTTCCTGAGCGGAGAGAGGAGAAGGAAGTTTGAAAACTGTAAAAAAAAAGGGACCAGAAAATCATGTTATTTGTAACATACACACACCAGTGGAAAATCAGCCATTGGGATGACTTTATCAGAACAAACCTACACCCAGGGAGACTACTTCTAAGAAGTACAGTTTGAGAGATGTTCAAAGATCATGATAACCCAAGTCTTGAAAGATTTTCTCAAAACAAAAGACACATTGACCTCCCATGTATCAGGTCATATAAATGTGTTAAGATTCTATTGATTATATCAAAAAAATAGAGAATGTGTTAGTTAACTATTTATCACTCTTTTCTTATCAAAGGTTGAAAAAAGATTTTTACTACAAAATATGGGGTGAGTGGAAGAAACTACTAGCGAATGCCTAATGAATATTATATAGCACAGAAATGGACTACAGATTAATAAAAGCATCCTCTCCTTCATTAACTGTTCTTTACCCTATGGGGGTGGAGAAGGTTAGCTTATGGCAACATTATGTCCTCACAATAAAAATACATTTAGTCTCCTAGCATCTACTGCAATTGGTTATTCATTATATATAATTTTCTTTATTTTTGAAACCCTTTCCCTGTACCAGCTGTCTGACAAAGGCAGGCATGAAACATTCTGAAAATAAACTTTTGGAATCATTTGCATTCAATGGGAAAATTCCACAAGTTAACTAGTATTCATTAAATTTTTCTAGTGATGGACAAATCTCAGAAGATTCAGAGGAGTGTTTCAGACAAGT